TTCACTGATTTTTTTTAGATATTTTAAGTAATGTAAACAGAAAGTATCACATTTTATAACACTGATTTTTTTCCCCTATCCAATGGCAAAAGAAATAACATGGCCATACTTCTTTTAGGTGTTGTTTTTTTAAGAAACCACTTTAGTGACATTGCAAAATTCCATTTATCATTTTCTAATAGATAATTGTTTGTCTTTGCAACTTGGTCACTGCCTTTATGAACAAAACAAGAACCTGTTGTCATTTCAGATTCTTTGGAAAAATCTTTTTTTTTCTTTGTTGAGGTAGAGAAGGAACTTTTCTACAAAACCATATCATGTAAGTGACTGAGTTATTAGCCTTAAAACATATTTCTGCTCCTTACTTCTTTTACCTTCCCTTTCACTTTGGGTTGTGCCAGCAAGTGGGGTCTTGTGCCAGCAAGTGGGGTCTTGTGCATGTTGCGTCACTTCTCAAAGATCCAATTTTACTGATTGTAAATACGTAATACCAACCTTTTACACCTGCAGATTTGTTACAATAATTCAACACATTCTTTGTAAACTATAAAAAGGAAACAAGTGTAAGAAATTATTATTACTAGGACAAAAGTCAGTAAAGGTAGCTAATGGATCAACAAGGGTGGTGGAATCTAGAGGTTAATAATAAGTGCCTAGTTATGAACTGTGCAGAGGTCAATTTTGCTGGATTAGTTGGAGCAAATGTGTAGGCTGGAACAAGTCGTTTTCAAGTTTTTGCTTAGAAGTAAACCCCTCTCAAGTACATAAAGCAATTTTTTATCCTCTTTCACTTTCACGTACATTACCTCATTTAGTCTTAAACATAAAACTGCCAGACTGGTGTCATTACCTCCATTTTATAGATGGAAATTGAGTTTTAATTTACCTCCAAGCACATTAGTGGTTGAAGCAGGACTGAAATCCAGGTTGATATTTGTACTATTATGCCTGTATTATAGAAAGCTCCTCGGCTTTATATCTATTGGTTTACTCAAAGATTAGTTCTGTCAGCTTTTACAACACCATACTATGATTCTAAATTTGCTTTTAGCTTTTAGTTCCACCCATAACCTCTCCTGTCTTGCAACTTGTAGAATCTGTATCCTGACCCACTGGCTGTTTCAGGAATACCTATCTTTTTTTTTAAACGTTTTTTTATTGATTTATAATCATTTTACAATGTTGTATCAAATTTCAGTGTAGAGCACAATTTTTCAGTTATACATGAACATATATATAATTCATTGTCACATTTTTTTCTCTGCGAGCTACCATAAGATCTTGTATATATTTCCCTGTGCTATACAGTATAATCTTGTTTATCTATTCTACATTTTGAAATCCCAGTCTAACCCTTCCCACCCCCCGCCATCTTGGCAACCACAAGTTTGTATTCTATGTCTATGAGTCTGTTTCTGTTTTGTATTTATGTTTTGTTTGTTTGGTTGGTTTTTTTAGATTCCACATATGAGCAATCTCATATGGTATTTTTCTTTCTCTTTCTGGCTTACTTCACTTAGAATGACATTCTCCAGGAGCATCCATGTTGCTGCAAATGGCATTATGTTGTCAGTTTCCTATCTTTTTTTAGTGTACTTCATTATCAGACAGAAAGGGAAGTGTTAGAGATTTTAATTAATGTCTCTAAGTGGAGAGGAGAAAAAAAGAGGAGCTGTGATAATTGCTTATGATAGTCCATTTCTTGAGAAACCATATTATTGGTAAGTACCTGGAGTTTCTCCAATAATGCAAGGATTATCCCAGCCAGCTCTTAGAATGAAGGGATTATGTAACATGGCTTTGAAGAGGTGGGCAAGTGAAGCTGAAAACAGGAAATAGTTTTAGGCTTGCCACTTCAAAGGATATTCTTAATGGGAAACTGTCTAAGCAAAAGTGTTGTGTGAAACTGAGTGCGTAGAAACAGGAAGCTACTTTCTACATTGATCTTAGGTATGGAGAATGCCTCATATAGTGGTTATCATCAAGGACTCTGGCACTAGACTGTCTGGATTTAAATCCAGATTTCACCACTTATGGCCTGTAGTGACTTGCAGGAAGTTGTTAAATTTCTCCTTGTTTCAGTTTCTGGTCTCTAAAGAGGGAATAAAAATAATACATACACCCAAGGCTGTCTGTGAGTATCATATGAGGTTATGCATGTTAAGTGCTTGGCACAAGTCAGTGCCTGGGATGCTGGGAATGCTAACTAAATGGTAGAAGGTATTATTATTATTATTATTACAGATATTATGACTCATCACTTGGACCTTGTATCTTGGACAAAATTTAGCTGGAATAGTATTTGGCAAAAAAAAAAAAAGATGCTCAGTGAAGGTTTATTGAATTTTTTCTCTGCCAAAAATGTCATGATGATAAACTGTGTGGTAGTGTTAATGATGTGGGTGATGACAGAAAGTTGAGGAAGGTTTGTGGGGAGACTTCTGGTAGGATACGTGTTAGACAGGCTCCTTATAACAAGAAGATTTATTTGCTAGTCAGTGGAAAGGGCTCAAGAGAGCTGGTTTTCAGTCCTAGCTCTGCCACCAATAAGTTGTGTGAGTTTGGACAACTCACATTCCTCTCTGGGTATTTCCTCATTTTAAAAAATAAGGAGTTAAGACCAGATGAGTGGTTGTTAACTGTGGGCTAGGGGTGGGAGGATATCAGAAACTTTCGAATTTTGTATGTCTGTGTTTCCATTCCTCATCTTCCCTTTGTCTTTAAGTCCTTTCCCCTCTTGTGAAAAACTCTATCATTCCTGGTAACCATATAGTATATAAAGCACCTCATTGTTCTAGTGACAATCCTTTAACCCAGAAGCCAAGGAAATAATTATCTTCAGGTTCCTTTGGGTAAGAAAGTCTAGGTGGGGCACTAAGTGTATTTCAGGAACTCCTTTTTTGGGTTTGTAGATAAGTGACTCAGAAAGTCAGCTATCTCATTTCCTGCCTTTGCTTAAATGTGTTGGGCTGATCCAGGAAATGCTATTTGATAGCCTGAGTCAAATTTCAGTAGCCTATAAATAGACTAGAAGTGAGGTATTTTTATCTCTTTACTTGGCATTTATGCTGTACATGACACAGGGCTATGAGATATTTAAGGACAGATTGATAGGGGAGAGAGAACTTTAAGATCTCTCTGAGAGCGTTTTAAGGGAAGCCTGATTGTCTTAGTCCTTACAGGTAATAGGAAAGGATTTCTCTTTGTCAGACCTATTCCCTTGGATCCAAAAGTACCCCATGTGTTCATCTCAATCTGTAAGTGGAGCTCTATGGCAGAAATGTGGTCTTCTGTTGACCAAACCTACTTACTACTTACAGATGCCTTGGAAGGCAGCAATGAGCTGGTGATGGGGAGGAAGGAATAGAGGAGAGAAATTCATTGGACTTTAGTAAGAGAAAATGCATCCTCTTAGGATTTTATGACACATAGGAAAAGAAATACCATGGTATTGACTCGGCCTGGATAGCTACTTGAAGGAAGTCTTAGATGCTGGAGTCCCACAGGAAAAGCTTTCATAATCTTTAGTCAAACATGTGGGATCCAGCATAGTAGTATGGAAGTGCATGGGACTGGGAATCATGTTTGTCCTACTTCCAGCTCTATTACTAACTCTGATACTAGTTGTGTAATCTTGGGCAAATCTTTTACTTCCCAATATATAAAGGGGGATTGGACTAACATTACCTCCAGTATACTTGCTGGCTCTAACAGTTTGATTCCAAGATTCTATTATGTAATTATTGAAGCCTACCAACATGAGAACATGACATATGGGCCAGGTAAGATGAAGAGGGTGGGCAGGGAGAGAGGGTCACTCCTGGTTAATTAATTTATGTAGGAAAAAAGAAAGACAGTCTCTGACTGTTAGGGTAAGTGACCTTTAATCCTTAATTTCCTGCGAAATTGTTGGTTTTAGGAATATAGACTGAAAGACAAGCATGGAACTGGAAATAGTGATTTTTCATTGAAAGGAGAGTATTTTTTGATTGAGTATTTGGAGACATGAATCCTTTAATTTTGAACATTAAACAATATTCTTCAATAATAAAAAGATAATTAAACTGTATTCTGTGGCAATGAAGTGCTGTTTTAAGAAAGAGGTGATAAATTCAGATTTATCCTTTAAAAGAGTCATTCTTGCTGTATGTGGTATGAAGAGTGGTTTGGAGGCAGGAAAGACCAAATGAGGAGGTCCCTGATGATGAGATCCTCAATTTAGGAAGGGGTAGTGATAATGCAGAGATTGGTTGGGAGAGGGAGGAGTTGAGGAAGACTCTCAGGTTTCCAGTTTGGGCAACTGGGAAGATAATGGTGCCATTTACTGACATACAGAATACAGGGAAGAGTAGAACAGATAGAAGAGTAGATGATGATGATTTAACATTTATGAAGAAATGAAGCAAAGTTCTGAGTTACCTGAGGCTTTGTCGTAGATTTGGAGCCTTCTCAATATTCAGATAACTTTCGAATCCTTTTTTAATCTCAGAAATGAGTATATGTATGTATTAGTGTGTCTTTCTTGTTGCTAGGGGAGGGGATTGCTATGGACACTAATGATACCATCATTCATAATTCCTCTTGTCAATCAATAAGAACACTTAAGTAGGTCTGGCTCAGTCTTCAGGCTGGAAGCTTTTTGAAGTCATCTTATCCATGGCATGTGATGTATAGAAAGTATGTGTGTGTGGGACGTGGTTGTTGGGGGTGGGGGTGGGTGAAGGGATATGTTTGTTTCTTTTGCTTTGTTTTTGCTCTTATAAGAAGGATGAAACTAAAATTCTCCCTTTCCAATTATGTTGGTTCGAGACTTGTTTTTTGTTTTGTTTCTATGGTTTAGAGGGGCCCAGTTTTCCCCACTCTTGATAGAAAGCACACAGACAGTTTCCAAATGTATTTTAATCACATTTAGTCCTTTCTGAAGTACAATAAAGTTAAAATTTATATTTATATTTTAAGTAAAAAAATTTAAAATATATGTTATATTTTTCTCTTCTTAGAGTAGAAATTTCAAGATATTAAATTTTGGAGAAATGGCTTTCCTTCATTTGGATATCAGATGCTTATATACCCTTCTTATTTGCACAGCATTTGGCTCTACTTTGTCTTCAAATGCCGAGATAAAAGGTAAACAAACAATGGAATAGTTTCAAAATTAGGGATATTAACTGTCTTTTCAACCTACTCTGTAAAAGTGTATACCAAATAGGTGGATTGTTATTGGAAATATTTCAAGAAGTCCATACACAAAAGATATGCTCTTACTAGTCGGCCTTATGTATAAGGTAACTGATGATAACAAACATTTTGTGGGATAAAAGCCAAACTAAAAGACTTTCCATACCATTTCTAACAAATAGGTTAATTATCTGTAACTTCATTGCGGAGGCCCCAACTAACTGAAAACTTTTCTAAACTACTATCCTTAACTTTTAAGACAATTACATAAATTTTAGAAATACAGAGATTTAAATAAAATTGAAAGATAATTACAGAATTATTAAATCATGTCTAATAAACTTTCTTCATTGTGTAAGGTAATTAGAACAATGCATTCAACAAAGATTTCTCATCCTGAGTTGAAACAGAATTGTCATTTCATCCTGAATTGAGAACTTTACTGGTTCGTGGGGGTCCCATTTCAAATCATTATTTGTGCCACCAGTTCATCTGTGGATTGTTTTCCTCACTCAATAAGTAATATTAAGGGAAGTATTAAAATGAATAATAGGGCAGGAATGAGAGGAAATTATTAACAGATAGGCAACATGAGGACAGTACTATAGTACTACTAGATTTGCTAGTAGGAAATTTTATAATTTGTTTGTTTTAAATCACCAGATGGGATAGCCACTGCCTCCCACTGCCCCCTCCCTCAAAATAAAAAGGGGCTGTTTCCTGATGTCATTCTACTCGGCTGCCTGCCACTTTTTCTTGAGTCTTTCCAAAGACTGGCTCTGGTTTGCAATACTCTAGTTGGCTAGAGGATTCAATTATCCAGAATGCATCAAAAAGATCTTCCAGTTCTCCTAATTCTTAAGGCACTTAACCATAGTAGCCATATTTTGTATTTTCTATCCCTTTTGTGTGTGTGCCATGATATATGCATATAGTAAACAATGGATTAATACTGACTGATTCTTGCTATTAGAGAGATTTATATAATAGAGTCTTCCCATGCTAGATCACATTCTGGTCTATATGACCACAGAGATAACTCCATGTTTAATTTCTTGTTTCCATGAAAACTTAGTACTTAGCTAGGTTAAGTCACATTTTGCATATGTGATTTCTTAAATAAGGGACAACTATATAGCAGTAATCTAGATTTTTAAAAACAGCTTTATTGAAATATAATTTACAAAACATAAAACTCACCCTTTTAAACTGTACTATTTAGTGATTTTTAGTATATTCACCAAGTTGTATAACAGCACAATTATCAAATTCCAGAATATTTACATCAGTCCTAAATGCATTCAGCAATCACATCTCATTTTCTTCTCCCTCTAGACCCTAGCAATCACTAAGTGATTTTCTGTCTCTATGGATCTGCCTATTCTGATATTTCACATAAATGGAATCATACAATATGTGGTCTTTTGTGATTGGCTTCTTTCAGTTAGCTTAATATTTTCAAGGTTCGTTCATGTTGTAGCATGTACCAGTATTTCATTCTTTCTTATGGCTAGATAATATTCCATTGTATGGATGTATCACAGTTTATTTATCCATTCACCACTTGATGGACATATGAAAGTAACCTAGATTTAGCAATGTTTGTCATGAGATATAGGAAAAAAGTAAAAATATTTTATTGATTTTATTTCAGTTAATCCTCCTCAGGATTTTGAAATAGTGGATCCTGGATATTTGGGTTATCTCTGTTTGCAGTGGCAACCTCCGCTGTCTCTGGATAATTTTAAGGAATGCACAATAGAATATGAATTAAAATACCGAAACATTGATAGTGAAAGTTGGAAGGTAAGCAAAGCAGGCACTTAAGATATTAGAGAGATTATTAGTTTTCTTGTGATTCCTGATGTCAGTATCTACCTTTATTCCTGTATCTCAGTAGCTATTCCTGCTGCTATCTCCTGTGCATCCTGCCACGTATATTTTCACCCCACCCAGGTACATTGGAAATACAGGAAAAAAGAAAACTTGGTCCCATGGAATATGGACTTGAAGAGTACTTACACATTGTACCATCTTCTGAAGTTACTTACATACCTATATATGGGTCTTATATTTGCTACTGAGCTATGTGAACTTTTTCTCTGTAGGAATCAAGCCATATTATCTTTGTACTCTGCCCATAGAACACAGCATGGTTCTTTGCATATATTGCAGTAAGTGCTCAATGAAAGTTTACTGAAATATTAACTATATACAAAGTCAATAAGCACGTTCATTCAAAGATTTCTGTTGTAGAAGGCATTCTGTTATCTTCCTAATTCAGCTAGGTAGTTTCAAGGGACGATTCAAACCAAATGTTCATTGAGCAATTTTTGTGCCAGGCACTCTGCTAGCTAGGTATCAGGAATAGAAGGATAAATGATATATGATTTTAGACCTTCAGGAGGTCACACACTTTGTCTGGTTTTCTCCAGTTACTTCCAAGATTTTATGTGATTCCTGAAGAGTTCATATGATATTTGAAAGGTGATGAATTATTTGTCTTGTAATATGCATGTGGTATGTGAAAATTATCTTTTGATCTCAAGATGGTTATAGCTCAAGTTCCTGCCACAGAGCCATTTTTCTTGGTTTTTGGGGGAGAATGAGATGTTAATATTCAAATGATCTCATCAAATGATATAATATGTACAAGTGAGCTCTGTCAGAAATATATCTGGGGCATTTTATCAGATAATCATCAGAAATTTCTTAGCTATTAGGAACTCTCCAGGATATTAATGACTTCTTAGCCTTGTTAATGTGGCCCCTGATGCCATTATTGTTTCGAAGCTTGACTTTGTCTCATCTTTTTATCAAACAGACGATCATTACTAAGAAGCTGTATTATAAAGACGGATTTGATCTTAACAAAGGTGTTGAAGCAAAGATACACACACTTCTGACAGGGCAGTGCACAAACGGTTCAGAAGTTCAAAGCTCATGGTCAGAAGCTACTTATTGGACATCAACACAAGGTTAAAACAAAGCTTTCTTTTTATGTTTAATAATGTCAGAACAGTCTATGTAGGAAGTAGTCCCTTAACCCTGATACACCAGATTGTATGTACAATTGAGAATGTGGCACAAAAAAGAATCCTTAGGAGTGGGTGACTGGCCTTTGTGAATTCTTTAAATCAGCAAACACATTTGGCAAAACCTACATCTTGTTAGGCTGATATAGTTCCCAGTTTGGGCCTCATATTAGTAAAATGGATATGAGTATTTACACAATAGCTCAGAGCATCTTAGAATTATTAATTTAGTACTTTGCTTGTGCTTACACTAGTACCAGTAAATGAGCCCTCAAAAATTTTTGATTTTACACACTCCACTTACAGTGAAGTGATTTCCAACAACTTCCTTCTGGGGTATTCCTGATTATGTTGATTGCTAAGTGAAATGGAGAAGTCCAAGGAAATGAAATACAATTGCATAATGGTTTTCCAAATGATTCATCACCATGTCTTTCAAGCATTCACAGTTTATTCATTTCTTAGGAAATCTGGAAACTAAAATTCAGGATATGGATTGTGTATATTACAACTGGCAATATTTACTATGCTCTTGGAAACCTGGCATGGGTGTCCATTTTGATACCAATTACAGCTTGTTTTACTGGTAAGTATTTTTAACAGTAAGAATTCCATATTAGGAAGATATCTGTCAAAATTAATCCACAGTATGAGTAACTGTATTTTCACTAAATTAAATGATATTTTTTCAGAGTTGTATTTATGATGAGGTTATTTAAAATTATTTGGGGTTTTCAATGGGAGTAAGTAGGTTTAGGCTGTAGCTAATAGAATGCACTCTATGGGTGATATAAGGAATGCAATAATTGTTTCTGTACTGGATTAAATTTTGTATCTTTTAGATAGATGGAGTTATAACCTAAAAAATTTTGGCATATTTCATATTCTTGCCTTTTAAAAAAAGCTATTAAAACTGGATCCTTCTTCTGACTTTTCTACTTTTGTTAACTGTCACGGAGGCTTTATACTTAGAGCCATCTTGAATCTTCTATCTCCTTCATTTCTTAATTGTTTCATGGTAACACTGATCACCATGATCAACACTGATGCTCCTTTGCAAGGTCTCACATCTGTTCTTTACTTCACATCTCTACTGTAAGAACTCTTCTTTAGACTTACCTCATTCCACACCTGGATTATTGCCATAGCCTCCCAAATTTATTATATTTTTAATTGAGGTACAGTCAGTTACAATGTGTCAATTTCTGGTGTATAGCACAATGTCCCAGTCATGCATATATATACATATATTTGTTTTCGTATTCTTTTTCATTAAAGGTTATTACAAGGTATTGAACATAGTTCCCTGTGCTATATAGAGGAAAATTTGTTTAAAAATCTACTTTTATATGTAGTCATAGCCTCCCAAATGATGATCTTTCTGCTTCTAGTCTCTCCTATTTGTTCTGCACGCTGTAGCTGGATTTATCTCCCTATTCTGCTATTTTCATATGCCATTCATTTGCTCAAAAACCTCCAGTGGCTATTCATTGCCTCCAGGATAAAATCCAGGCTGCCACTCATCTCTGCCTCACTATATCACTGCCTTTCCAACATTACCTTCTACTATCAGAATGTTAGTATGAATGAATGTTAGCAAAATGAATGTTCCACTCCATTTAGATCCATCTCTACATTTTTTTCTCACCCATATTATGATCTTTTATGCCTTTGTGTGCACTGCTATCTAGAATACCATCTGGCTGTCTCTGTCACTAACTTATCCATCCTTCAAGGCCCATCTGGTACTCAATTTCGTTAACTCTTTACTGATCACATTAGTTTCTGTTCAGTTTTTCTCTGAACTATTACTTATTATAGCTCTTACTCATTGTCCAGATGACCTTTAAATTTTTGTCATACATGTATGTTTTGTCACCTCTCTTAAATTTTTAAGAGATTGATAGGCATGGCCAATTTCTTATATTTCTCTTGACTATCTCTGCTGTGCTATGCCCATAGTAGATTATCACTAAATATTCATTAAATGAATATACCAAATGATGATAGCATTGATAAGTTGATAGGTAAGTGTCAGAACTTACGCATTTTTAAATACCAGAAAAAACAAAAGAGGACAAAGTGTTACTCTTTGTGAGTTTCAGGCCCAAATTATGGTGTTTTTCTTTAGAAAATCATAATATATAAGCAATAAGGTATAAGCTATTAACAGTCCTGAGTACTGGTTTCTAATCTATGCACTGGCATCATTCAACTTAATGGTCTTGAGTAAGCAATTTCCCTTTTGAGGAAGTCTCAGTTTCCTCATCTGGAATTGGATGGGTCAATTTTTAAGGTCTGGCTTATTTGTCCATTAATTCAACAAATGTTAAGCAATTATTAAATGCCAGACATTGTTCTAGGTAAAGAGAATAAAAGTGTAAATAGGACAAAATCTCTGTCCTCTTGTACATCGTAGCTCATGTTTAACATAACTTTATCCTCAGTAAAGTAGTGAAAGATAGATATTAACATTTTAGAGACTGGAAAATAAGGGTACTATGAGGCTTTCCACTGGCATAAAGTAAATCTGTGTATCAAGCCTAGAACACAAGTCTCCCAAACTCTGATCAGGTAAACTAACTCAGAGACTACAATTCTGCAGACTCGACCTAAAGTAAATACTTGGCATAAGGTGAATTCAGTAGAGTCCAGATATTGGTACCAGGACCTTATGAGCTGCTAGATTGGCCTCATTTCAAAAAAAGATTTTGGCTGCTTTTACAGACAATATCACATTTTGCATTATAAGCTATTGTTTAGGAAAATAAACCGGGCATTTGTTCCTTTGGAATTCAGTAGGGAAATTCCCCCTAATTCCCATTAGCTTTGTTACTGGAAAGAGGTTAACTTGCAATGATATCTAGGAGAGTGGGGAATTAAATATTTACTTGCCAAACAGCTCTTCTTTTTCTTTTTGAGCCCATGTTGGCTTTTCTGAGGTTTATCTCTTCATGGATATTAAATCCTCGGAGGATTTTCATTCATTTTATTAAACATAAGAATATTTTGTAAGTCTGCTTTTAAATATGCTTTCTTCTAATAAGTTCTCCAGTACAATGTAAGAAAAGCAGTATCATCCAGGATTATCAATATAAACCCCACATTTTCTTAATAGGAATCTTATTCTTTGATTCACAAATTCTGTTGGTGAGTCAACATAACCTAACTGTAAGAGTAAGAATTTTTGCCTTATCTTTGAGATTTTGTAAGACTCCCACCAGATTGTAAATTCTGTCGCCTATGTCTGTTTTCCTTACTGTTGTAACCTTAGCGTTTATTATAGGATATGGCACATAGTTGGTCCTCAATAAATATTGCAAGTTATTAAATGATTTGTTATTTACCTGGTATCTTAAAATAATTGAAAATAGAACACCATGCTACTAGAAGATACTAGTAAACAACTCTTACAACATTTCTTTTTATAGGTATGAGGGCTTGGACCATGCAGTACAGTGTGCAGATTACATCAAGGCTAATGGAAAAAATATTGGATGCAGGTTTCCTTATTTGGAGTCATCAGACTATAAAGATTTCTACATCTGTGTTAATGGATCATCAGAATCTCAGGCTATCACTCCGAGCTATTTCATTTTTCAGCTTCAAAATATAGGTGAAGTAAACAAACAACTTCAAAATGTTTCTAGTTTTAGATCATTTACAACCATGTTAAAGAGAGAGAGATACCTACAGAAATGCTAAGCCAGAAAAATGGGGGCCAACAGAGCATACAAGGAAGCACTGATTAAATATAAAAGTATGGAAGATAAGGAATTGAATGAATATAAAGTATCATTTTTATTTAGAACTCACAATTTGTTTCCCAGCCTCAGAATCTGTCTAGTATTTTTTTTTTTGTCTAGACAGTATTTTTGTCTAGTATTAGTGATGGAGTAATTAGGGAAGCACTTATTCCCAAGCCTCAATAGGCAAATGATTGGATATTGTCTGCATCTGTGTTCTGAGTCCTAACAGTTACAAGAATGACAGGTTCTACAGTCAGCCATATCTGGGTCTGAATCTTGAATTTACCACTTTCTAAACGTATGACTTTGGACGAGTTACTTTAAACATGCTTCAATTTCCCTGTCAGTAAAATGAAGACAATAGAGGACCACCTCATAGATTTATTGTGAGACATGAATAGTTTATGACATAACTTTTTTGGTTGTGTGTCTGACACATCATAAGCTCTAAATAACAATTAGCTGTTAATAAAAATAGTAGTAATTGTTGTGGTAGTTGTTTCTAATGCTGTAAAATGGAAACAATAACTGTAATGATTTGGATCTTCTAACGTTTGTACTTAAATATTTGCCAATATGTGACTTATCAAAAATTAGTCCCCCAAATAACCAAGTTTCTTAATAAACTAATCTTGGTTGGCAAGCAGCTTTGGTGTTAATTCACATTTTGGAGGATAGTCTTAAGCCACCTGATTCATCCTGGAGACTTTTGATAAGAGCTACTGCTAAACTTTAATAACCTCCATGTTGAAATGGTCTCCTTTTAATTTTCAGTTAAACCTTTGCCACCAGACGACCTTAGTTTTTCTGTGAAGAATTCAAAAGAAATTAACTTGAAATGGAGCATCCCCAGAGGACCTATTCCAGCAAAGTGTTTCATTTATGAAATTGAGTTTAAAGAAGATGATACTGCCTGGGTGGTATGGACATTGTGATTACTTGGGGAAATCATGAAGTTAGCCTATTAAATAAAATAGCAAACAATAAGAACCAAAATCAGTTACTATCAGTATGAGGAATAGAACATGGCATATACTTTTAATTTCCGGAAAACCAAATAATCTAGGGGATGAAAGAAAGATTCTTGCTGTCTGAAAGTTTAATCAATCATACCGATTTTAAAGCTACACAGGCCCTTAGAGATAATCTCGTCACTTCTTTCCAATATTGTGTCAAAAAATTAAAGTTGTCAAGCACATGCATAAGATGGATTGTGAAGACGCCTCAAGTAACAAGAAACTGAAACAAAAAGCACAAAGAAACATAAAAACCACTTCTTGGGGAACAACCATCAGGTCCAAATTAGCGTAGAGTCTGGCAGGGCTACTGGAGAATTGCTTGTAGCAGGGAAGAGGGGTAAATTGTGGAAGCAGGCAATGGTTGCAAGACTAATTACCCCCCAGCACTAATAATGTGGTGATGCCTTTAGCCCACGTTGTTATATATTAATTTTATTCATCGGTTTTTAATTTAGGGAGTGGTGGAGACAAGTAGATGAGCCATTAGTTCTAATCAGTTTGTTTCATATACAGATGAGAAAACTGGGAGTTGAATTGATTTATAAATCCCAAGGAAGTGAAGTGACTTAAAGTCAAATTGCACAGCTAGAACGAGAATCCAAATCTTATTCCCAGTCCACTTTAACCTACACTGTATTATGCTGGTTCCCAAGAAAAAATATAACAAAAAGAAAGCTGTAATTTTGGATAAGAAAAATTCTTCAGCTCTTTGAAATACAAAATTGAAGTAATCACTTCAGTGATTTTTTTTTTTCCTTTTGAGCTCATTCAGCCTATATATCTTCATATCAGAAGGGGTAGTTTCATGTCAAGCCCTGAGCGTTGTTGCACTGATCTCATGATGGTTAAGCAAAATAAGAATGAGGGAAAAAAGAACCTTTGTGTTTATGAACTCTATAATCTCCATAGAAATCACATTCACATGATGACTCTTTTTGCTAACTCAGTATATATAGCATTTTCCAGTTTATAGGATCTGGGAAATTTGACACTAATCCAAATACTGGGTGTCATAAACACCAAAACACCAAAACTACCTAGGAATTTTGTCCTGAGACACCTGTCCTTTACTACTAGAGATCCATTACCAGTATAGAAAAATTTAAAAATATAGATAAGGAAGAGAAAAATGAAAAACAAAACAAAAAAATACCATACAGGGAGATAATCACTGAAATATACCTTTCTAGTCATTTGATGCATATCTTTCACACAGCAAAACTCACTTTGAAAATGACAAATCAAATGGAATCTGGGTACCTGCTATTAGTTAAAATAATGGCATCTTATTTTTTTCTTGACTTTCAGACTACTACAATTGAAAATGAAATATACTTCACAAGAACATCAAATGAAAGCCACCGATTATGCTTTTTAGTAAGAAGCAAAGTGAATATTTATTGCTCAGATGATGGAATATGGAGTGAGTGGGGTGATGAACAATGCTGGAAAGGTATGAGATTAAAACAACAACAACAACAAAAACTGCCCAAAAACCAGTGACTAGAGTATTCCTAGCATTATTTGAAGAAGAAGATGCCTTACTGGATGCCATAGGTCACTACAGTTCAGTGACACTGGTTATCCAAATGATAGGATCAACTCTTCTTCAAGATTATTTTTTAAATTAAAGTGTAGTTGATGTACAATATTATATAAGTTGCAAGTCTACAATTTAGCAATTCACAATTTCTAAAGATTACTCCATTTATAGTTATTATAGAATATTGGCTACATTCCCTATTTTTATGTCTATAACAGTGATTGAGCTTTTCCACATTGCAAGACTCAATCGATTCTGTTTGATTTTTCCTACTTTCATTTGACAAGCTAATCTTACCTGTTTTGCTTTCATTTTACTAGTGGATTATTTCCAATGATACTCTTAGCTCCAAAGTATGGTGGCAATGTTCTTGAGCTTCTTATATACTAACTAGCTAGATGTTAACCACACTCTCAATTGTAGTCGTACAATGACTCTGAGGTTTTACTTACAAGCATGTATGTATTTTATGAGAACCTTGACGTTATTATGTGCCTTCTTTATGTGGTTTGGAAACCTGTATGCTCATTATTCAAGTTTTTTATAGTCTATGCCTCTTCCCCATTAAGATTTAAAGGAATCCATTCATACAATGTTAGAAAGAAGGAACAACTGTAAAATATGTTGATATAGTTACTGAAGAAAATATACTGATAAAAGAACAGTACTAAATAACTGGGGCTATTTGCTAGCAAAATTAATTTTCTTTTAGTGTATTTTGTAATCATGCAAGTCAAGATGCTCTTGTGAATCGTCTATAAACAGAGAAGATAAATTAGCAAGCCTCTGAAGTGAATATAGATTTATGGAAAATCTAATGTTCAGTTTTCACTAGTTTAACTAAGAGTCTGTTATAGTTCTATCATCGACATTCTTGTCTTTCTGACTGACGGTAAAGAGAATATGCTAGTTCTTTTGAGGGGAAGTCTGTTTTAATTACTAGTTTCCTATGCTTTCAATTTTCAAGGGGACAGAAATCTTAAAGCAAGGATAGGTAGCATACATTCGTTTTTGAGTGTCTGGTACTGTGCCTAATGGATATTTTTCTAATTGATATGTCATCATGAGCTAAATGCACATTCCATTCATTTTCAATAGTGATTTAAAGTGACTTGAGATAAAAACATGTATTTAAATTAAATAACAATATAAAATAAAAGCCTTGAGAGTCAGGGAAAATATTATTGTACTTTACAGTATACTAGCTTTATCAATAGAAATTGTTAATAGTTGATTGAAATTGCAGGAAATTAATTCAGCATTGATCTTTCACATAAAGATAAGTAAATACATATACAGGTATAGATACAGACATATAATGGCATTTGTATCAATCATTCATCTCCTTTCATGTTATTCCATTATAATAGAATCCCTGTATGACTATTATCTCCCTATTAATATAGTGGTATCACTGTTCTTTTTCAAACATCAAATATTTATTAAACATGAAGTTATCAGACTTTTTCAGGCATTGGAAATACAGCAGTAAAAAAAAAAAAACCCTCATGGAATTTATATTTTATTCCCAAGTTGAGTAGAGATAAGCAATAAAGAAGACAAATATATCATATAATCATTAAGGGCAATGGAGAAAAAATAGACAGAGAAGGGGAGAACTCAGTTAATTAAGAGATATATGGAATCAGAAAGAACACTTACTGGTTTGATGTTTTTCATTTTTGTCACTACTATAAGAAACCTGGAGACGCTGTGGAACTGACATTGAGAAAGTCATGCCCTGAAAGATAACTTGTTATTAATGCATAGTTTAAAATGGATATGGTGGGGTTTTAGCTACCCCCTCAAAAAATACATCCTGTTACGTATTTTACATGCTATCTTAACCATGACGTTGATGACAGATTTCTTTTGCTCTGATGGATATCTCTTGGTAGTCTTAATAACTTTGAGATTAGGAACAAAGAGTTTCCTGAGATGCATGTGGTCTTAGTTCTTTCGGACATTTCTTATTGGATGTTTTAACTTACAGAAAAATAGCACAATACTTTTTTTTGAAATGATAATATATCTTCTTCAGGATTAACTCTATGTGTAGGGAAAACATGGAAACTTCATGAAAGAAGCCTGCTTTCCCACTGTTAATTTTGCATGCCAAAAAACTTCCATTATTAGTCATTTCTCTCCATTATACCCTTGCAATTCTTAACTGAACTGAGCCTACGAATTTGACTGGTAATTTTCTAGTAGAAAATAAGATCCTAAGGGAATAGGACAAAGAAAAAGGTGGGGTTGGGGGAAGGTTTGAGTATAGATATCAGCCTAGGATTCATTCCATGGTACTTCAAAACCAGTGGGAGATACTAGTTTTGGAAGGATAGACTTTGTGTACTATTTAAGTTTGTCTAGTGATTACTCATTTCTTGCTATGCAGAAGAACTATTAAAACTTCATCCCTGAAAAAAAAAGCCTCATCTCTTTAGTCGCCAAAATGTGAGACAACTTTAGAAACATGACCTTTAAAAACTAGTTCCATTATTCAGATAGAGATTTTTATTGAAGACCTGCTCTCACTCACTACAGCATTGTATAATTTAATAGAAACACTTGACTTACTGAGAGTTAAGAGATACACAACAAATGTTTATCTAATCACTTGGCTAGTATTTTATCATTTTGTTATTATGGAAAATTCACAAGGTCAAATTTTAAACAAAATCATATAAGAAAATAAGAATTGGACTTTAGGGAGTAATTTTTGTAAGCAAAATGAAGAGCTTTCACAGTTAAGTAAAGTAGTTCTATTTAAAAAAGCACACAAATGAAAGGAATGCTGTAATCAATCATAATTATAGTATCTGTCGACTGAAATAAATGCACAGCTTAAAAGTTGGGAGTTGTTTTATTTGGCGGGAGGACTCGAGCTCGGATGACAGACTCTCAGATGGCTCTGAGGGACTGCTCCGAAGGGGCAGGGGCGGAGCCAGGATATATAGGAGCTTTACAACAAAGACCAGGTAGTTGGAACAATAAAAGATAACTTGTTATCTAAAGAAAAGCAGGCATCTCAAGTTAAAGAATTTAGTGCTTTTCTCTGTATGGGAGGGAGCAAACATTTGGGCTCACTGAATTCATTCCTTTGACAAGCACCTAGCTATCTAGGGCCAGTATCCTGTCCTTTATTATTCTGAGTCCCTTCAGGGTGCACCACTGTGAGTGGCTGCAGAGGCTGGGCTGCAAGCTTGTCCTCACTGGGGGTGGCGGCAGCCGCTGTTGACTTGATGGCTTTAGCATTCTTTGTTTACTGATATGGTTTGCAGTATTTTTCGTTCACATATCTATGTATTGGCAAATATGGCAGAAGTTGCCAAGTTTAACTCAGTTCTTCACCATTTGCTAGTTTATTTATAAAATATTTCAGTTTAAAAAATAATTGTAAACTTCTAACCCTTCCCCCCTTTTTTTTTTTGTGATTTTTAATCCTAGGTGACATACGGATGAAAACGTTGGTGTTTTTCTTGATACCATTTGCTTTTGTCTCATTATTTCTTTTGCTAATAACTTGTCTGCTTTTGTATAAGCAAAAAAATTTACTGAAAATGGTAAGTTGTGTAACATTACAACGTTTAGTTTGAGATAGTAGATAAAAATATTTTGCATTTAGAACTGATGGACCTACATTTATAATTTTGCCTATACACCGTGAGGGTACAGTTGATGTTGTATGGATTATGGAGTCTTCAGAAAGTGCAGTAATTTAGAAAATTAACCCTAAAAAACTACATTTTGGGGTGGATATACTTTTGATAAGATATAAGAATAATGTTTTAGAACATGAAACACTATTTACCTCTAGATTAGGGGAAAATACAAGAGTTACAGGAGAAAAGCAGGATTGGGAGAAAGGAAAGAGTGACTTAAAATGGACGTAGACTGAGATATATGACTAGTGTGTCACAGGCAAAAGATCACAAAAATTAAAAAACTTGGTGCCTGTACTCCAAGAGCTCATACACTAGTTGGAGGAGATAGAATCTGTACAAAAAATAAAACCTGCATTACAAGCTGATTTTAGCTGATTGCTATTTGAGTTGTACAGATGATGCTATAGAATTTCAGAAGATGGAGGGATCACTATGGATTGGTGGGCTTTAAGGAGGAAGTATGACTTGGAGAAAAATATCTTAATGCCAAGTCTTTTAACAATAAAGAGAAATGTGAATGTTGCTTTATTTCTCTGCTGAATGCTTTTTTGTCTATTTCTCTGAGTTCTTAATCTAAGTGAAATAGTTTGTGTTATTAATGACTATTTGTTAATAATGGAGTTCTTTCTTGATTTCAGATTTTTAAAAAAAAAAAAGAAGTCTTTTCTCATCAAGAGACACTCTGTTGACTCAATAAATTCATCTCAAGGCCAGATGTTAAATAGGAGCCTTATTAAACTGAATTTTTCTCCAAATGTTCAATAAATCTTATTTTAAAAGCATTGTTGTATTTAAATAGGCTTTGGAACACTCAAATTGTCAACTAATAGTAAATTTTCTGGATTCTATTAAGAGCTTTTTTTTCTTGTTAAAAAAACGGAGTTCAGTCAATTAAATTTGAAGATCTACTTGGTTTTATTAGGCAATTCATGAATCAAGCTGCATCCCATCTAGCAACTAGAAGGGTAGCCTGAGGGATTGTACAAAATAGAAGATTTTTATAGGAAGAAGGGTGGGGCAAGTGACCTATTAGCAAAAGAAAAGGAAGGATTATTTTTAGGCCAAGACGTCTCCTTTTTTTGGTGGTGGGGGGAGTATGGGGGAGGAAAGGCAAGGGTTTTATAATGCAGATTGCCTCTTCTTCCTCTGGGTGCCATATAGAGGGTCCATGTGGCAGATGATCTCATTGGTGCTGACCAGAAAACTCCAGACTGGTTGATTAAGATTATATTTCCAGTGAAGGCTGAAACTGCAATTAGGTTAGGTGTTAAATCTAGGTTTGGTATTGTGGGCTTTAGCACAAGTTATGCCATTTTGGACCTGTGGTTTTTCTCTTTAACATTCCTCAGTCCATGATGAGAGTGCTGCATGTACAGAAGTCCAGGCATGGGTCAGAATCCCTTAGTGATGTATTAATAAAACAATGTGATTTTGCAGCTTGCGCTAAGCCATAGAGATATTGTCACATCTTGGAAGATCAGAGTCTAGTTTTTTAAAAATTACACTTGGGATGAAAGTATTTACCAAAAATAAGGTTGTTTGGCTTTAAAAATAACCTGTGGAGAGGATTCATACGAAGCAAGAAATTTTAAACACATTCATATCCTAAATGTGTGCTTCGCATTTCATGAAAAGTTGGGAAGAACGCAGTGCTTAAAAGCCTGAAGATAATGAAATGACTAGAGATCATATTTGAAATATTCAGATGTCACAAACTATGCATGAAAGCTTGAGAGTTTCCTGTATTAGTTGGCAGCATTTCCTACTTTCTAATCGTGTGATTTTTATTTTTTATTAGTTCAGAGACCAAAAAGCACAAGCCTCTGAAGTCAGAAGCTTTTTAAAAGTACATCCAATCTTCAGACAAATTGCCAGTTGACTTCTAGGAGGAAATGTGGCAACCTAGGTATAGACAGTTACTTTAAGATTTAGAGAGTAATGACCTCCAGATGACAATCAAGAGCCAAGTTTTAATTTGGATCAATATCTGTTTAATATTATTCAGAGCGGTTCTACTCTCTGCCCCACAGATCAATAGAATGGGAATTTATTAGAAGAAATGCAGAATCTCAGACCCCAGCCCAGACTTACTCAATTTAGCAATGTGCATTTTAACAGCATCCCCAGGTAATTCATTTGCACATTCAATTTGAAAAACAATATAGCAGTATTCTAGAATGAAAAAGACTAAATATAATGGAGGGATAAGCCCATGGGCAGGGTAACTACAGCTTTGACTATCATTGGCACTGATCATCTATCTCTAAAAGGGGAAAAAGTACTAAAACTGAGGTGTGAACCAGAATACCATCCTCTATTATCACTTGTAATCAATGATAGAATGCACCACCACTGTTTCTTAACTAGACCTATCCTTATTAAACATTTAAACTCCTACAGTAGTATGAATTAGGATATAATATGTTTGGCAGATTACTCTCAAACGAGGGCTTACTCGAGTTGTTCTTAGTGTATTGAGGGATTTTGAGGAGGAAAGAGGAATGTGGAGGGGAGAGGTCAAGTCTAGGCAGGGAAATGGCAGGCAACTTCATCCTTGGAGGCTGAATGGGTCTTGAGGACCTAGGATTTCAATTCTCCTGTTCAGAACATGCATAACAAGATCTACTAATCAAAGATTTCAGAAATCTCTGATTAAACTTAGAAGTCTCTACCAGATTTGCCCTAATAGACTGGCTATAACAACCATGTGGCACCAAATCTGGACAGAGTAGGACCCCTGGAAATCCTGGCCTATTAGCTTTATAGGTTTTAACCTCTAAATAATGCGACTCCCAAATTTTCTGAAATTGAATTTTTTGAAATCTCCCTCTCTACATTATGATAGAGTTTTAAGGTATTGAATATTTCTTAAATGCTTGGTACATACACAGTGCCTTAAGCCATGGTCCCCCTATCTTCTGCCACCTAGGGCTGTCCTAGCCCCTCACTTTGAACTCCCTCCCTTAGGACCTGCCAGCAACTAAGGAATAACACCTTTCACAGCAGGAGTTCCCTAGGATCCTACTCTGAGGCAAAAGTGAATGAGGATGGCTTCATGGGTATGTGCCCTGTGCAAGTACACAGGGCCCTATTCTTGGATACTTGAAAGGGCCTCAAATATGGTTAAATGATCTGCTATCACCATCTTGAAATTCTTAATCATTTTTGAAGAAGGGGCCCCATATTTTATTCTTTACTGTGCCCTGTTAATTTTGTAGCCACTCCTTACAGCCAGCATCAGTTCTGATTAGTCTGCTCAAGATGTACCATTAAAACATTTTGAATATCACCTCTGGTTTTTTATATTCATATTCATACCACATTCTAGACACTGTGATAGTCACAAACAATAACTATCCAGCCTGAGGCAGTCATTTGCTTGAAAGAGGGAGAAATGACATTTATTGAGTGTCTCCTGTAAGTCAACTTCTATGCTAAGTGCTTTATATAACACTATATCGATAATTTTTTCAATCCTCAACACATTCTGACAGGTATATAAGGTGCCGATATTATAAATGAAGAAAAACTTAAGTTGAATAATACATTTAAATTGTTTAATTCAAAAAATGTCTCTAGGGATAGAGAAGGACATTTTTAAATGATCAAAGGGTGACTCCATTAAGAAGACATAACAATTATATATGCACCTAACAAGACAGCCCAAAAATACATGGAGAAAAAAACTGATACATTGAAGAGAGAAATAGACAATTCAACAATAATAGTTAGACTTCAATAAACCCACTTTCAATAGGGGGTAGAAGAACTAGGCAGAATATCAACTATGAAAAAGAAAACTTGAATAATATAAACCAGCTAGACCTAACAGACATCTATACAACAATTTATTAGACAGAGGCAGGATACCCATTCTTCTTAAGAGCACATGAAACATTCTCCAGGATACCCCATATGCTAGGACATAAGACAAACCTAAATAAATGATCTAAATAAATTAAAAGGATTGAAGCCACATAAAGTATGTTCTCTGAATATAATGTAATGAAATTAGAAAACAAAAAATTGAGAAACATAAATATTTAGAAATTAAACAACATACTCCTAAGTAATCTAAGGATCAAAGAAGGAATCACAGGAGACAGTAAAAAAATATACTTGATCCTTGAACAATGCAGAGGTTAGGGGACACAGACCCTTCCTGCAGTTGAAAATTTGTGTATAACTTACAGTTGGCCTTCTGTATACGTGGTTCCTCCACATCCACAGTTCCACCTCTGCAGATTCAACCAACTGCAGACTGGGTAGCACTGTAGTATTTGCTATTCAAAAAAGTCTTTGTGTAAGTGGACATGCCCATTTCATACTTGTGTTTTTCAAGGATCAACTGTACTTTGAGAAGAATTAAAACAAAAACATACCATACCTAGCTTATGGGATGCAGGCAAAGCAGTGCTTGGCAGTAAATTTATAGCTATAAGTTCATATATTAAAAAAGAAGGAAAAAAATAGATAACTCAACCTTCCTTAAGACACTGGAAAAAGAAGAGCATACTAAGCTCAAAGTAAGTATACATAGTAAACAATAAATATTAGAGCAAAACAAATAAAATAGAGAACAGAAAAACAACAGAGATATCCAATATCAAAAGTTGGTTATTTGGAAAGATCAACAGATTGATAAAACTTTAGCTGTATTGATCAAAGAGAGGAAGAAAACTCAAATTACTAAAATTAGGAATGAAAAAGGAGAAATTACTACCAACTTTAGAGAAATGAAAATAATTGTAAGGGAATACTATGCCGCAAACTAGAAAACTTAGATGAAATGGACAAATTTCTGGAAAGACATAAATGGCTGAAATTGAATCAAGAAGAAATTAAAAATCTGAATAGTAAAAAGATAGAATTAGTAATTTTTAAACTTCTCTGCCCACCCCCCTCAAAAAACAAAACAAACAAACAAACAAAAAACCTTAGGCCCAGATAGCCTCACTGGTGAATTCTACCCAGTATTTAAACAAGAATCCATGCCAATTCTCCACAAACTCATTCTAAATGTAGAATAGAAAGAAACATTTCCCAACTTATTCCACAGGGACAGTATTACCCGGATGCCAAAACTAGAGGCCAGATATTTTGCAGAATTCTCCTCAGTTTCGATTCACACAGTATTTCCTCACGATTAGTTTTATGTTAGCCATCTTTGACAGGAACATCACAGAAGTGATGCTGTGTTCATATCATTGCATTCTATCAGATGGAGCATGATTTCAGCGTGTCCCATTATTGATGATGTTCACATGGATCACTTGATTAAAGTGGTTGCTATCAAACTTCTTCACTGTAAAATTATTCTCCCTCTACCTTGTAATTAATAACTATTTTGTATTTTAAACTATGTAAATATTCTATTTCTCATCAAATTTAGAGTTATTTATTTATATCGTTTGATTAATAGTTTCTTATTTTATTCAATAGCTTTATGAAGAATTTCTCAGCAAGAGAAAGAAGGGGAAGGAGGAGGAGGGCCTTGAATTGAATTTTGAGGGACAAGTGGGCATTGCCAGTCAAAGATAGATAAAGGGCATTTCGGGTAGAAAACTTACATGTGAATTATGGAATTATACTTAGCATGCAGGATTTTGGGGGAGGAGGACCACAGAGGTGGGCCCTTTTCATCACCTGATATCAAGGGTACATACTATCAACATGACTTATCCCTATTAATGTTCTAACTTCTAAGAAATAGGGAGTTATATATGACCTCCCTGAGGGAAGGATTATTTATATAAATTATCTGAAATTCTTCTGCATGGGAAATTGGTCTGTTCTCTCACATTTGCTTATTTATTCAATCATTTATTTATATCAGTATGGACTCATAGATATTTATTTTATACTTTGGAGTATAAT